TTTTGATGACTTTAAATAAACACACAAAATTTCTCCTTTTTGAGGTCTTTTGCAAACACAAACATTGTCTCCTTTGAGGACTTTAAACATAATTACCCACCTAAAGTAGGGAATCCCATGCATGCATATCTATTCCTAATTCTAATGGCAAGGAATATAAACAGTATCAGAAACAATATCAAACAAACAATAATGTCCGTAGCAAAGCGCAATCAAAGCAAAATAAACCCGAAGATCTTCGAGAAGCTTCACCAATCAAAGAAAGAGAAGTCAGAAATCAAATGCTTAGAATAAATGTCTAAGCATTCTCGATGTGAAAATAAATCACAATTGACATCTAAATACCGAACAAACAATCTTGCATAAGATACAAGTATCGACAAAACAAAAATAAAGTGACAAGTCTCATGTATTGAGACACCTTCGGAAGCTTTCACAAGTTCACAAGATGAGTTAGTAATAACATGGAAAAATAACTGAAGTTACACGTTCACATTACAACTCAAATTGAAATTTAATCATGAAGAAACAACTTTTGAACAAGCATTGGAACCATAAAACAAAGTTTCGGGCAGCAACTTTTCATCTCATGAATGACTCAAAAAGTCAAATTAAAATCAACCAAAATCAACATCAATGTCAATTATTCATCAAATGAAACTCAAGTATGCATTAAGAAACAATTAAATCCCATTCCATGTGCATTTTTAAAATCCAGATAGAATTTCATTAATCTCATGAAGCATCCGAAATATCGAATTAAAATCATCAAAACTCATCAACAATAACCAACAATCAACAAGTGAACGCTAAACATGCATGAACTGATAATTAAATGCAACGTTTACAAGTATTTGCAAATTCCGGGAAGCAACTTTACATGTATTGATGTCTACTAAAAATCAATCGGAAAATTGCGTTTGATGCGCAAAGAGTCATCACACATTGATACTTGTAACATACTCGAAATTCATAAATAAATTGCAAATATTACATCAATACTGGTACACAGGTTTTCAAGCTTTGAAACAAAATTTACCAACGCGTCGATATCAAATTATCAACTCGCAAATAATAATCAACTCATGAAATATAACAATTATCCATAATTATTGAATCGGAATCAAGCTTCGATGCGTAAAATCAATAATCAACAACAAATCATTGCATCGATACTTATGAGATTTAAACAATTAAACAAAAGCTCATCCAATTCCATAATTGTCCATAATTAAAAATCTCAAGAATCAATTAATCTCACAATTCAATTAAATTCAACTCATGCAAGGTAAAATAAGCACTTAATTCAAAATCACTTACCGAATCGAAATCGGAGAAGCGAATTGGAGAGATCGACCGGAAGAGGAAGAAAACCGATTGGAGCAAGGAGGATCGTCAGTTTTGTGCGCGGACGACTAGGTTGGTCGGTCAGATGAGTGGAAGGGCGGATCGCCAGGCGCGGTAAGGCAGTAGGTCGGCGGTAAGGCGGTGTTCACGGAGGAGAGAGGGCAGTAGAAATAAGTGAGAGAGGAGGAGCTCTTGCTTTTAGTCTTGAGAGAATTGAGAGAGAACTTGAGATTATTTGAGTGTGATTTGTGAAAAATGGAAAAAGTCCCATTTGATTTTGAACTGAAACAATATATAGACAAGATCTTATGCCTTGTTTGGAAAATGGAAAAAGAAATTCAAATTTCCTTGTTTTTTGGTAGTGCAAAATTTTCATCTTATTTTAGTGCATAGTTCGAGAAAAATCCACAAGGTCATAACTTTCGGTGCATAATCTGAACCCGAGTCCTGAAGGAAAATATTAGATGACAAAATTTGTGACGTTGTACCAAAAGAATCTTCTCGATACCATAAAAATAGAGAGAGTTGTGATTTTTACAATAATAAGAAAATTGAGACAGAAAACCCTCTGTTTTGGTTGCGCGGCTTTTCCACTGGTCGATTTGAGAATCAAGTGATAAACAGAAGTATTATGATCATAATCCGAACTCGGACCCTGAAACAAATTTGTAGCTAACAAAATTTTTAACATCATGCCGAAAGAATCATCCTGAAATGTTAAACCAGGAAAGTTGTGATTTTTGCAATATTGCACGATAGTTGACCGGAAATCCGCTTTAGCATGCGATTTTCAACGTATTTTGCAATTTCAGAGATTTTCTTCACATATTTGGATTTCGAGCCAAACATATGAAATGGAGAGGATTTCAAGATGAATCCAACGCCTAAAGACCCACTAAAAATAGTTTTCCGGTAAGAAGTTATGAATTTTTGAACATAAGCTGCGAAATACTGATTCTTAGACGAAACTGCTTCAAACCAACTGAAACGCTCTGTTTTCTTTGCAATTTAAGGCATGATGAAACACCTAAAAGCTTGACATGATGAGGATTTGATCACTCACTAATTTAATACTTCATAGAAATGTGCAGAGTGCACTTGAATCTCAAAAAACCATGAGTTTCTACTTTGTTGTACTGCCTGGCAGAACAATTGTTTATGTAGCTTGACGCAGATAAATGTTTTGATCTCGTAAGCATGAAATCAGTGACATGCATGCATGAGTATGTTAGATAAAAATAAGCCAATCAGGGTTAGACTGAAGAGGGTGGATTTTGGGGTGCAGCAGCAGTCGCTTTCATATCAAACCTCTTAGCAATGATCTGAGAATTTTTCTGGCAAGCTTTTATTCAGACATGTTTTCACCTTAGGCAAAAGAAGCGTTGGCAATATCATGCAACTTGATGTGGAGTTCACATATAGACTCATCTTCATTCATTCTCAGATTCACAAACTTAGTTGTAAGTAGTTGCAGTCTTGACATATAAACTTTAGATGTGCCTTTATGTGCAATTTTAAGATCTCTCAAGCTTGTTTAGCTTCAAAACATGTGTTGATCAACCTGAACATGTTCTTGCCCTCACCATTGAAGATAGAATTCAAATCCTTAGAGTTTCCAAGAGCTTCATCATCTTCAGCATCAATTAAATCAGATTATGGTTTCAAACTGGTTGTACCATCTTCAAAATTAACCATTAGAAGTTTCCACCCTTTTATCACAGGTTTCCATGCTTTGTTGCCCATGGATTTGAGAAAGTAAACCATCATAGACTTCCAATAATCATAGTTAGTACCATCCAAACATGTGGTTTGTTTACTGGTCCTCCATCTTTCATTTTGTCCATTTAAGCAGAACTTATCTTCCCTAGAGCTCACTTAAGAGGCTGGGGTGTCTGCTCCGATACCAATTTAAATTATGTTCCTTGGGGGACAGATGTCTAACGCGATGTCAGGACAACTGGTTCAACAAGTTAAACATGAATCCACCCAATTATACCAGTGTAACGTATGCAATATGATGGAGTAGAAAACCAATAAATAACATAATAATTGGCATCCCAGTTCGATGTAAATGCACATATGTCTATATGGTTAACTTCCAACCTAAGAAAGGAAATCCACTATTAGTAGTTTAGTACATTTAGTCTTATAGGACAACAATCAAATGTTGTTCAAAACCTCTTCCTAACCATATCCAATGGGTTTTTATTTAGGTATCCCCCTAAATATGAGATCCCCGATCACTTTTTCTCAATCACTAAACCTTAGTGATCACCTTCACTTAACAATATCAATTATTGATTTACAATACAACTAATACAAATCTACAACCATGTCAAGTTACTGAAACATAGAGTGGTGTATATAAAACAATAACAAGGACTCAAAGAACCCCTAACACTCTAAAGATCTTCAATGTATTGCTTGCTTTCCAATGTAGATTTGAGCTTCTTATATAGAAAAAATATTCTAGGCTTTTTATCTTGGATATTTGATTTGATTTCGTCTGGAATAGTTGAACAACTAGTTGGATATGATTTATTCCATAAATCTCTCTAATAAAAATATATGATTTGGCTTGTTTCAAATTCAAATTTAAATCTCGATTTAAATTTGATTTTATCTTCTCATCTATCCAACAAATCATATATTCATATTTCTAAATAAAAGCAATAAAACCTAATTTAATCTTCTACAGAAAATCCTTCCAAAACGCATCATTTTGGCCTGTTGAGCAAGGCCTAGATGTCGTGCCCATGTATTGTGACAACATGTTCAACATGTGTCCCTTCTGCACCAGAAAATAGCTAGAAGTAGCTGAACAATCTTGAACACTTCTCCATGTTATTGTTTTGCATAATATAGACAATTCAAAAAGGAACAACTTCTACCAAGTATTGTCACATAACTTCTAAATGTGGTATCATGTTCACCATAAGACGTACCAATTTTTAAATTAAAATCAATTGGAATCCTAACACATGTGTTGTAGACTTTTGTCAACTTGACCATCATCGTGGCACTTAAAATTTCTTGTACTTTTAATCTTAATAGTAGAAATATTATTTGTAAGAGATTTGGTTCTAACATATATGGTGGACGAATCGCTTATTTCTGTTTAAACCGCAACAACGACAATAAACATTCTACTTAACCCAAATCAATAAAAGTACCTAATGTGAGATTCAAGATACATGTGGTGTATTTTACTTTACAAAACATCAACACTTCCTGAGAATACCTCATAAGAGTAGTCTCATAAACATTTCACTTAACACAACATCAAAAAAGAAATCTAATGTGACTCATGGTACATATAAACTTTTATCAACGTAATCAAAATGACAGAAATAGCAAAAAGTAACTTCCTTCAACATAATCTATAAGCAATAAAAATTCACAACAACAAAAACTAATATTTCAAAGTTACATGCATGGATAAAGTGAGTTACATACCAAAAATATGATGAAGAAGATACGACAATGGTAGAGGAAACTTCATTTGAGTTTGTTGTTTTTTCTTCGTTTCAAGCTTTGCTGGTGCTTCAATGGCGTTCCAATGGAGAAAATGAAGCCTTAAACACGTATCTGTATGGGAAGAGATGGTGTTTCAAACATGTACATGTGTAGGAAGAGATGATGTTTCAAAAACAATGATGGAAGCTGAGTTTAGAAATAAGAAAGGGTGTTTCGGTGGAGAAGAGGAAAATGAAATTTGCCTAGGGTATGTTTTATTTAGAGAACATTCGATTTCGCTGGCGAAAGAAGATGACAATAAGGGTTAAAAAGTAAAGGTTAGCTAGAGTTTATTTCTAGAAAATACTTGCAAAAAATATTTCCTTTCGGTTGGGTCATCCAACCGAAAGAATAGATAAATTTTATTAAAAAAAAGTCATATGAATTGAGAGAGAGAGAGACCTCATTTAAAATATAAAGATAATATTTCCTCTCAATTGGAAGTCTTAATCGATAGAGTAGATAAATTTAAAAAAACAATAAGAAAGACGTCAATTGAAAAAGAAATGTAAAAATGCAAAAGGTGGATTTAGAAATCTAGTTTTTGACCAACATTTTCTATCGCTTGATTCCTACAATCGAAAGAATAGACTATTTTGATTGATTTAAAAATAAAAAACTAGAATAACGCCACTTGAAAAATAAACAAAAACTATAAACAACCTGAGTTGAGATTCAAAGTGTGATCTCATATCCACTTTTCTTATTGATTCTTTTCCACAATCGAAGGAATATATAATATTTATTTTAAAAAAAAAATAGATATAATTATTTCAGTGGTCCTTTAAGTTTTTTTTGTAACAATTCGGTCCTTTAAGTTTTTTTTGTTGAATTAGAATTTAATTTTATATTTTTTGAATGCTACTTTATGTATTTATGATGTTAATATATGTATTTGTTGTAATTTTATGTATTTTGGGTGATTGTTTAATCTAAGATTGAAAAAAAAAAAGGTAAAAAGGATAGTTGTGCATACATTTGTTAACTTAAAGAACCAAAATGTTTTAAAAAAAATTAAGAAACCAAATTGTTACAATAAAATAACTTAAAGGACCTCTGGTATAATTATGCCAAAAAATTAAACGTGACGCACTCAGAAATTATACCTCGAATATAGATTGACCGGGATGAAAGTTTAATTTATAGACCAATTTTGGAGATACAAAATTATGGACCAATTGCATGACCTCCCTATTGACATGTCCTATCTCTGATGCAGTACCCTTAAATATCTTATTCATGATGGCAATTGGAACATTCCTAAAACATTCAAATTGCTTGCACTTGAGGTAACTGCTGACATGCAACAAATCATCATACCTGGCTTTCCTCATGCAACATATTCTCAGAACTGGTGTGGATCTAATGATGGTGATCTATCTTTTAGGAGTGATTATGATAGCTTCACTTCCAAGCATAATGAACCTGCCTTGCCCAAACTCATATGGCAAGGCTTTACTCCTCCGGCCAAATCATATATCTTCACTTCTTAACAAATAAATAAATGATTAACCATATTCCATATTCCATATTCAAGCATGGTATAAGTAGCATAAATTTCTTGAAGTTAAAATTATATTATCACATCAACATTGTTCAAGCAGGTATATATTATGTGTCCAAACAATGTATCAAGCTGATGTGTTTTCAAGACAATGATAGAGGACACCATTAATTTGTACAAGACATTATTCAATCTCAGAAAATTCAATTTAAAAAAATGTAATCCAAGGACACAAAATGTCCCATTTTTCTTATCTTAATTGGAATAGTCATGAAACATTTCCTCTATACATAAACAAATGCAAATTTTTTGTGTTAATCAAATAAGCAGATAGAAGAAAACAACTAATATCTGAAAATCCAACAGAAATTAATTATAACTATAAAGTATATATGTTTATTTGTTTGTAGTTGTTCTTCTACTATTGAAGTGGAGAATCAAGACCCTCTTGAGAAGACAGTGAGTGAAGTGGTTGATGCCTCAATGAAGGAAAAGATGGCATTCTTCTGAATGAAGGTCTTTTCTCAAGCTGTTGTATGGTTCTTTTGGCGTAAAGGTTTTTAAACAATGGTGATGCTCTTTCCTTGAACTTGAGAACAATAAAGAATAGAATCCTGTAACATATGAGAATGAGTAGTAGTGCTGCTAAGTCCCACCACTTTGAATGGTTTAGTTCAATCCCTAACATGTGTGTTATCACATAACTTCCTGTCAGTTTCGGGTCACCGGCTACTAGTGGTTCAAACTCGAGTCCAAGTAAGTCGTTCTTGTATGAGCCCTGCATCCAAGTTATCAATAGTTAAATCAAAAATATTAGTAATTGAATGTAACTTTATATGTCAGTGTCTGTGACAGTATTAGACACTGATACGTGTTAAATATCAGACCGGTTTAACTTACCTGTATTGCCCATGCGCCGTAACTGATATATGAAATTGGATAGCGCCAAACCGGTTTTGGAAGATCAGATAGCAACCTAAAGAATCCAGATGTCATCATCATGATTCCCTGCATGAACAACAACAATATGAGATCAAGTGGTATGTTTCAAGTAGAATTTTCGAAGCCATTTTGTACTTACAATGATTCCAGCTCCTGTAATGATTCCCATGAGGAAATTTGGAACAAGTGAAGCTATAACCATCATGAGACTCTCGATTACCGAGATGCATGAGTAGATATTGAGAGTGAAAAATACAAAGTGAATGAACCCCGGCCTGAATTTCACCATGTTATATGTGATGGTGCTAGAAGTAACAGCAATAGAAACCAAGAATGGGAATGATGATAGAAAGTTCGATAAAATGTATGCCGCTACGCCATAATATCCATTAAGCCTTTCTCGATAAAATACCTGTCTCAATGAAGAAACGACCGTAAACTCAACATATGCTAAAAAGTTATATATTTTATCGCTTATAAAAATAAGCTGAAAATAATAGACGGACATATCATACCTTCATTTCTTCAATAAAGCATGGAAAGCCTCCAATTGACATGAAAGTCATAAATCCTGATATAAATGCGCCACACGCGCCGCGAGCCAAGATTGAAGTATAGCTATAGCCAATATCAAAATAGATAGTTCCAACACATATAGATACAATGATGTAGATGATAATTCTCAACCAATAATAACCAACATCTCTACTCATGTTCACAAATGATCTCCTTGTCAATGTAGAGAGTTGCTTCCACCAACTAGCTTGGCTTCCATATTTCGGCTCATTTTCAAGCCCTTCCTGTAATACATTTATCACTAACCAAATCAGACACTAGATACGAGACTAACACACTGAACATCATATGGATTTCGAGAATTATAGTAATGCTTACATGAGTTGATAGTTCTTGGATCTTGTCTTTTACTCTTCTCGCGTAATTTGAACGCCTAAATCTCTCTATTAACCTTTCCTTAATCTGTGCTGTTGCCATGTTCAAAAAAGGATCTGCTGAATTCGGAACATCCTAATAACGGAGAAAAAGTGAAAGAAACAAATCCATGTGAATAATAGTTGCCATGAAAATCAAGTTAGCTCTTAAAAAGGAAGGTATACATACATGAATCCTTTGAGATCCCTTTAGCGTAGCAGTTACAACGTCAAAATCAGAATTGATACATCTTAGGAAATGATCAGAAGGATTTCTTTTACGCGGACAAGGGAAACCAGCCTCAGCAAAAAACTGCACAAGAAATCGAAAAACATACTCAACCCGTGGTAGCATATTAAACTTTTACATTTCAACAGATAAAAAAAAATGTTTATACCTCAATTGCCAATTTTGCTTCACCAAAATAAACAGTTTCGCCGCCAGAAAGCAAGAAAAGATCATCAAAAAGAGCAAAGACTTCACTGCTAGGTTGATGAATAGAAGAAATAACAGTCCTTCCATCGCGAGCAACATTTCGAAGAGTTTGAACAACGAAGAACGCTGAAGCACTATCTAATCCACTCGTTGGTTCATCGAGAAACAATAAACGCGGCCTTGTGAGAATTTCAAGTGCAATGCTAAGTCTTTTCTTTTCACCACCACTTATACCTCTCAAATGCCAGTTACCTATTAACCTATCAGCACAGTCTTGAAGCCCCATTTCTATGATTGTTCCTTCGATTATGCCGCTAACTTCTTCTTTTGACATTGACGTTGGGAGGCGTAGATGCGCAGAATATGTTACAGTTTCTCTTACTGTCAAAGTTCCCAATAACACATCTTCTTGTGTTACGTATGCCTGAAGTTTCAACATCATTCAAAATTGTCCGTCAGTTAGTTTCTATAGTTAGAGATTATGAACTTACATCTATAAAACACAGACACCAAAAACTCAACGTTGACACTGACACAACACAACACAGACAAACTTTTTTTCAAAAACGTCAGTGCTACAAACATTTTTTATCATCTAAAAGCGAAGTATTACTTACAACAAAACCACCATAGCCTGGATTTTTTTTCTTGCCATTGAGAAGAACATTTCCTGTCATTAAAACATTTTTGGAGAGCCTACCTGCAGCAACGTTGACACATTCAAATATTCAAAAAATTAGCACTAAAATTTCATAATTATGTAAAAAAATTAGTACTAAAATTAGCTTGTGATTAATGTTGATGTTAATATGATTATAATTTCATTTATCTATCATTAGTAGATGATTAGCAAAATAAGTTATGCAATACTAAAGTATTTATGGTTTTTAGGTGGAATGAAGGGCCAATATGAGGTCAAATCCCATTACAATTGCAAATAAGAAGACAAAAAAAACAACTATATATGGTCCCAATCCAACTAACTACATGGGGCATGGGGCTTTAAAGTGTACTTTGGCAATATTCATGGAATTTCATAATCATCATGTTTGGTTTGTATTTCCGCAGGATTCAAAATTTGTTACAATTAAATCGTGATTAAATAGAAATTTATTGAATATTTTTTCGGTTAAATTGTAACTAAATAAAACTCTATTAATTTTGGCACAGTTGAACTGTAATATACGTATATGAGATCTCCAAAAAATTAAAACGAATCTATCGTAATTGTGTGTTAATAATAAGTAATGTCTAAGCCTTATTTTGAGTAACATGACTAGAGATTTTCTCTCATAACACAAACAGTTGATTTGATTTTACTAAAACTCATTTCTTAATTAAACTCTTTAGAATAGTGTAATGTATGAAATAGATTCTTAATTAATTTGTTTAAGTACACACACCTACATTCTCATGCTCATCAAATATATCCTTATCAAAGTCCACAAGTTAGGTTATAGTAGAATTTAACAATAATTTTCTTATCTCCCAATTCCAACCACCAAAATTGAAGATGTAATCATGTAACATAAATTTAGAGAGCTACTACTATTAGTTAACTTCTCCTTTTCAATGGCAACTATCAAAACAATTGGAAATAAATCTACCGCCAATTTATCAACCAATAAAAGTTTTGAAAAATCAATACTTTAAAAAGTTTTAATTATAATAAAACCCTAATTTTATTTCTTGAAAATTATTTAAAAGTACAAAAATAAGTTCAAATATATCATCAAAATAACAATATAGATTTGGCTTTTGAGAATAGGTTTGGAGGTGGTCCATCATTTGTAATGCAATTTTAATGTTAGAAAATACTCAAAATAATATCATACCCCACCATAAACCAAACCATTAAAACAAGGGCCCTTTAGTTTCACTACCATTGAATTGAATTTTCTTTTATAAAAAATTAAAAACAAAATCAAAACAGTAAATTCAATTCAAATCAAATTAACAATTCAAGAAAAAAATCTAAAAATAGAAAGGTCCATTTTTCAATATATTTAGTTACTATAGATTAACCCAATTGAATAAAAGAATTTGTCGACCACTATTAAGGATTTTTTTCTAAAAAACTTATTATCGGACATGCGACCGACTAATGTAAAATCTAAAGAGAATAATGTCACTGTCTATTTGCACATATTATTATCACTTAATAAGATTCGAATCTGAAATTTTAAAAGATTATACTCTCAGAACTGAAGTATTCACCAACGGGATTTCCCAGTTGGCTCGTGTTTGAGCAATTGAAGTAAAAACATAGAAGAAAAGAACAAGTAATGAACCTGCAAGAGAATCAAGCAAAGTTGATTTTCCAGAACCAGAAGGGCCCATAATAGCCATGATTCTACCAGGCTCAGCAAAACCATGAAGGCCATTAAGAATCTTTTTGGTTGGTCCTTTACCAAAATTTGGTATAATAACTCTTAGATCTTCCCAAGCTAAGAAACTTCCTCTAGTAGTAATGCCACAATATGTTTCATCTTCTTCTTCACTCTCATCCATGTTGCATCTTTTGTTTTTGTTGTTGCTACCACCACTTGTTGCTTCAATCTCCATCTTTGATTTGAAGCTAGAGAAGTTTGAATTATTATCAAGTGTTACATAAAAATATAAGCTTAAAAGAGATAAGAGCATGGATGTGTACAACAAACACCAAACAACCAACAATAAATG